GGGGGGGTGGGGGGGGGGGGGGGGGGGGGGTATTGGAGCTAGAGACGCTTCTGCAGTTCGTTCTTTGCGTCCTTGGCCTCGTCCTTTGCGTCGTCGAATGCGTTTTCCGCTTTCTTCTGTACCTCGGCCACTGGGTCGCTGGACTTGCTCAACTTCTGGACCTGGTGTGTGATGAGGCCCGCTGCACCGCCGAGACCTGCGCCTCCGAGTAGACCGTTAACCAAGCCTGTCCTTCTCAGGAAGATGGCGGGGAGTACGAGGGCGCCGAGGACGCTTCCGATGAGGTGCAGGTCGTCCTGTCGGACACGCTGGGCGTCGAGACGCAGACCGGAGGTGCGTGCGGCCAGCGAGGGATGGTCGAGCTGGCTAGCGGCCGCATAGCCTCCGATTGAGCCGGCGCCGGCACCGGCGACGGGTACGATCCAGTTGTACCGCGCCAGACCGCGCAGACTGAACCCGCGCCCGCGTGCAGCTTGCAGCAAGTACAGCGGCGTAGCAAGCAAACATCCGTACTGCAGACCCTGGACCGTGTAGCGCCCGACGTAGTACGCCGAATCTTCCTGCATCCCTGCTGCTTCCAGCTGTGTCTTGAGCTGCTGCGACATGGTTGAAGTCCGTCCGAGGTGCGTGAAAGTAAGGCCAACGGTGGATGTCGACGTTGCCGTGATGGAATTTGGATGGGGAAAAAGGGCTCCGCCGTTGGAACTGGGGGTACGCTGGATGGATAGGCTGATGGATGCAAGACAGAGGGAGAGAGGAGAGCGAGAAAGCCGACTCGAGGTCGGGTGGGAGCGGACGGGCCGAGGCGCGGCGGCTAACTCTGAGCCTCTCGCTCTTGGCCGGGGCAAATTGGGCTGGGGGAGCTGGCTTGAGCCCCGGTGACGTCCTCTGTGGATTGGGCGCAGCAAAGCCGCCTCGCCAAATTGCTCCACACGCGCACTTCTCCACACTCACCCTCGACGCACCCTCGACGCGCCGCTGGTCCCCTCTGCCGGCTGCTGATCCGAAATCGTTCGTCGAGCCTGCTCATTCCATCCATCCATCCATCCACTGCCATCTGCGCTGTAGGGGAAGGATGCATTGGGCCTTCGTCTCGGGGACGTCCCGCCTGATCGGGGGCTGGATGCGGCAGAACGATACGGGGCCGCTTCGGACGCATCCGAAGTGTGTATATTTAGAGAAGCCAGCCTGGGCTGACCAAATTTAGCTCACTGGTGCCCCTCTGCCAACGAATCGGATGCCGATGCCGTCCAGCCCTACACCGACCCGATTCCGGCCCTGCCTCTGCAGCTTTGACACACTGACTCGGCGTCCGGTTCTGACGTTGATCAAGTCCCAAGCTGCGGTGTGTCGATTCGAGATGGCCGTGGTCGCGTGGGCGCAGACGTCGAGAGATGCGGGTGCAGCGGAAAGAGCCGTGCGTGCAGATCCCCTCACCCTCGGCGCATTTTTTCAATTTCTTCCACACTGGCCCACGGGGGCACGCACAACCGCGCTGTCCGCCAAGTCCGCAGATCCAATCACGCCTCGACGCAGTCCTCACTGCAGTCGCGCACAGGAGAGAGTGTCCATGTTGCATGAAGCTAGGCTGGGGGGTAAAATCCGGCATAGAGCACGCACGAGACGCACATCTGGATGCCGAGGTACGACAGCACCAGCGGGCGGAGCCACGGTGGGGCGTAGAGGACGGCGTGGGCGAGGCCCCACCATACCATGGGCATGCCTCCGGGCGTGGCGAGGCGCAGGGCGATCTGGACGTGCGAGGCAAACAGCAGCACCACCGCGAGCACCAGCCCATGCACAACATAGGGTACCGCCCTTGGCACCGAGCTCAGCGTAAAGCCGAGTCGCCGCTGAGCCGGTGGGTGTGCAGCGAGCAGAGACGCGAGCAGCTGGGCGCGGGACGAGGTGCGGTAGTACCGGCGTGCGGTGGCGACGATGGCGACGAGCACAGGAGCGGCGAGCGCAAAGTTGGGCAGCTGCGCCACCTCCCAGTAGCGCAACCATCCGACGTGCCAGTACTCGGCCTGCACGAATGCGTACACGCTCGGCGGCACTGCGCTGCACCATGGTCGTCCGCCCTCTGCCAGGCAGAAGCGACCGTAGGCCCACGTCTGAAACAGCACCGTCGGCGATACGCACACCGCCGCCGACACCGCCAATTGCAGTGCAGCCTTTGCGAAACCACGCGTGCCCGCCTGGGCGAGAAGCTTGTACGCCGTGTATCCGATGAGCAGAGTCCCGTTGGCGCGAAAGGCAGTGGCGACGCCGAACCACACCGATGCCGCCAGGAGACGGGTCCATCCCAGCCGTGCTTGTTCGAGGCACAGCATGCCCGCCAGACTCGCGGCGCTGAAGAACGGCTCGGGCGTGGGTGCGCTCAGCGTCGTAGCCGCCGACGGAGCAAACACGCTCAACACGGCCGCAGCCGTCGCGAGCTCGATCTGCTCGGTCACTCGCAGCGTCAATCGGAAGAGCAGCAGCGGCGCCACCACCGCCGCGACATTAGCCAGCGTGGCGGCGAGCAACACCGCCGAAGTTGGACTCCACGACCCGTCGAGGCTCGGCGTGACATAGCCGAGTATGCGCAGCAGCGCAACGATGCCAGGCTGAAAAGCTAGCATGTGCTCCCACCGATAGCCGCCCACATGCAACCCCTCGGCAGCGGTGGGCGAGGCAGCAGCGAGAAAGTACACCGTGTCCCAGCGTACGAATGCCAGCAGCCAGCGAAAGTGTCCGGTGGAAAGACCATGTGCGCCGTTCGGGTCGAGTGCAAACGCGAGCAGCTCGTGCGATGTATCAAAGGCCTGCTGCAGCTGCGCATTGAGGATCAGCGCACCTACCGAGGCGATGCGCACCCAGAGCGATAGACGAAGCAGCCGCGTTTGTGCCGCCACCAGCTGCCGACGTGATGGCGGCTTCGAAGCGGCAGCATCCTGCACCAGCGTTGATCCTGATGTGGCTGTGGCGGCAGGCGGCTTGGAGCCTGCAGTGCGTCGCTGCATGCTTTGGGCGCCCATGGTGGTGGACCCTGAAAGCGAGCCCGGGGCCGTTTGGCTGCGCATGGTCCAACGCTGCGATTTTTCTTCCAGCCGCACGCTTCCCCCCACCGCCTTGCAGTGCCTGAAAGCGAGCCGAGAAAAAGGCCGGACGACGGCCTCCACGCGTCGCTGCGAGGGCGCTATGCTGGCTGTGGGCGCGCGCGGCAAAGTCGACCGACCCTCTCTCACCATCCTTTCCAACACCATCGCCCCCGCTGCACCGGCTCGATCCACATCCACACACGAGCGGGTCCCAGGCTCTCGCGCTCGACACACTCAGCCATGGGCGTGGCCTTCAGCTCGCTCTGGTCGTCGCTCTTCGGCTCCAAAGAGCTCAAGATCTGCATCCTCGGGTACGCTCCTCGTCGTCCACTTTGCCCCATCTCCCGCCATACTGACATTCTGGCTTGATGCACGCGCAGCCTCGACAATGCAGGCAAGACGACGCTCATGTACAAGATGACCCTCGGCTCGGTCGTGTCCACCGCGCCCACCGTAGGCTCCAACACAGGTGAGCACCCTTTCTTCCTGCGCGCATCTGGGATCGATTGTTCATGCTGACATGTTGCTCTTTGGGATGGTAAGAACAATTCGAGTACAAGAACCTCAAGTTTATGCTGTGGGACGTGGGCGGACAGACGTCGTTGCGCACGTCCTGGACGTCGTATCTGGCCTCGACGGATGCGGTCATCTTTGTGCTGGACAGCAACGACCGGGAGCGCGTCAACCTCGCGCGCGACGAGCTGCACCGCATCGGCCAGGACGAACAGGTGGCCAAGGCGCCCATTCTCGTGTGGGCCAACAAGCAGGACATCAAGGGCGCCATGACGCCCGCCGAGATCTCCGAGAGCCTCGCCCTGACCGCGTTCCGCGAACGCACCTGGCAGATCTTTGGATGCTCCGCCTTGACCGGCAAGGGGCTCACCGAGGGTCTGGATTGGTTGGCACATACGCTAGGTGCAAAGGCGTAGTCATCGCATAGCACCCCTTCTTTGTACATAGTTTCAGCTCGTCGCAAAGCGCCGAGTGCCCAACAGCTCCCAAGCTTGACCACAAGGAAAAGGGGTCCCCATGCGGTGCAACGGTTGAGCGGTGAGGTTCGGAACGCGGGGGTGGAAGGCGCCTCCACTCGAAAAATTCCAGCAGGACCCAGATTGCTCCCAAAAAACCCCTTGCTCTCGACCACACACACACCGACACACCAACACCTCTAACACCACTTGGGATTTGGGCAGGATGGCCGAGCCGGCCGAAGCAGCGCCGCACGAGTCGCGACCGGAGCAGCCAGAAGTGGAAGCAACGATCTCGACGCTGCTCGCGCAGAACCGCCGCACCGCCACCGCGTTCACCGTGACCAAACACTCGAACGACGCCGCCAAGAACTGGGACAAGTTCTACAAGAACCACGCCGACAAGTTCTTCAAGGACCGCCACTGGACGTCGCGCGAGTTCGGCACCGCCGTCGGCTCCTCTTCCGTCAAGCCCGAAGACGACCGCGACGAAGAGGCGCAGCTTGTAGCCGCCGATGTTGCACGCCAAGGCTCCGCAGTTCTGCTCGAGGTAGGCTGTGGCGTGGGCAACATGCTGTATCCCTTGCTCGAGGCCAACGCGGGGTTGAGGGTGCATTGCTGCGACTTTAGCCAGCGCGCAGTGGACATGGTCCGAACCCACCCGAGATACGATGCGGCCAGAGTGAATGCGTTTGTATTCGATCTGACGTCGTCGCAACCTTCGCTGGCATCATTGCTAAAGAAAGAGCCATACGATGCTTGGCCCGCACCTGCAACCGTCAGCCTCATCTTTGTCCTCTCCGCCATCCCACCGCATCTGCATCTCCAAGTGCTCAAGTCGCTAGCGGATCTTTTGGCCGACAACCCGAGCGGGGGTCATATTCTGTTCAGAGACTATGCGTATGGTGATCTATCCCAGGTTCGCTACCACACCAAGAAGGACGCTGCGTGGGCAGAGCCGAGCTTGCTATCCGACGAGCCGGGTCAGAACTGGTACCGCCGCGGAGACAATACGTTCAACTACTTCTTCCAGCCGCACGAGCTCGACGCGCTCGCACAGCAGCTCGGTCTCCAAGGCGAGGCGCAACTTCTTCGACGCACCGCGGTGAACCGAAAGAGCGAAGTCAACATGCAGCGTCGATTCGTCCAAGCCAAGTGGTTCGTCCCCGCGCGCACGTAATCCCAAATTTATCTACGATGCAAGTGCTTCTTCACGCTGCATCACCGCCGCGTCGAGCTTGATGAGGATCGTGGTGCGTTGAGGGTATTGTGGGGTGCCCACCGTGTGTGCCGTAACGCGCGCCGGAAATCCCAGTCCGTCCAGGGCGGCTTCCACCATGCCTGCTGTGATCGCTTCGACGGACAGCTGCGACATGTCGTTGGGCACACAGATCGCCCGACTAAACGTCGGCACATTGGTCGAGATCATATCTAAATCCCACCCGGCAAAAGCCGCTGTCAGTGTGTGTTGTGCTGACGAATAGGCGTGTGTGGGGGACTTACATTCGTCGGATCTTCCTGGCTCGGTGGACCGTTCGAGTGAGTCGGCCGCTTTGCCAAACGCCGCCTTCCAAAACGCCGTGTGGATCCAGAGCAATGTCGGCAGCAACTTGGTCTCGCGCTTGGGGTTCTTGGGATTCTGCAGCATCTCCTGTCGATGCATTGCCATGCCCAACACTCTCTGCCCGACCCTGTACCCGATCAGCGACAGTCGCTTCTCCAGATCCGTCACGCCCGTAACGCGGTTCTGCGTATAGCTCACGATCTCGCCAAACAGAAACGAGAGCGCCGATGCATTCACCTCGTTCTGCCGCGTCTTGTCTCTCGGTCGATCCACAATATCCACCCTACTTGCAGGGGTGTCGTCGGCAGCCGAGGTGAACGATGCGAATCGACTTCCCAGCCCCGTACTCGCCGTCGATACCTGTCGAGTCGAGACAGGACGGTGCAAGGGAGGAGAAGAGACGAGGGATGCTTGGTGGAAGCTGTTGGCGGTGCTCGATAAAGTGCTGACCGACGTGCGTCGCGAGGAGAACGGTGGCGGGTTGGAGGAGGTCGATGCAAACGAGTACGTCGCCGCCGTGCTAGCCTCCGTGCTCTCCGGTGGAGGTGCGTAGGGATGCGACGAGGCAGACGATGCACTGGCTGTCGTCTGCACCGAGAACCGCTGCGATGCCCGTGGTGTCGTAGCCATCGTGCCGCCAAAGCTATCAAAGTGATGATCGTGGATGTCGGTGCAAAGGTCGACGCGGCTCGTGCGCACTCTCCACACCTTCCCAGCTCTCACCAAACACGCAATTTTGATTTTTCCCTTTTCCCCCCTTCTCGGCTCATATCTCTCTCTGCTCCCTCAATACACCTCGACATGCAAGACGCACAACTGAATCTGCCAACCATCCACGACCGTGAAACGGATTTGTATTGCAGCTCACGAGGAGCCCTTATTGGATGCGGACGAATGCGACTTGTGGTGGTGCCTGCCCTTGCCGCGATGGCGTCCGCCCTTCTTGCTGGGCGATGCCGAGCCGTCCGCCTTCTTGCCCTGGCCCGGCTGTTCCTTGGGTGTCTGCACATTCTTGGCCGCGGCTGCATCCTTGACCGCCTCGATCGCTTCCGACTTGGTATCTGGGTTCGCTTCGTCCGCATCACTGCCCGACGAGGCATCACTAGCCACCGTGTGTGCACCAGCCGTCACTTCTGCCGCCGCTTCTTTTTGCGCACTCTGTTCGTCTTCCTTGGACGGCTCGGCGGGAATACTCGCCACCGGCGGCTCCGCTTCTGAGGCCTCATCCGTGGGCTGGGCAGCAGAGACGCTGCTCGTAGCCTCGTCCAATGCCTCGCTCTCCTGATTCGGTAGAGCAGCATCGTCACTCACGACGGGCGAGCTGGCTTCGGTCGAAGAAGTGTCCGATGGTGTGGTGAGAGAAGACGGCTCCGACTTTGGCGAGACGCTGCTACTGCTGCTGGTCGTCGAGTCCACCACCGCATCAGCCGCCTGGGATCCCGAGACCGAGGTGACTGTAGTCTTGGACGACAGCGCGTCCGCATCTTCCATGCCCGTCGAAACGAGCGCAGGCGGCGCGGCCTCGGCGACCAGATTGGGTCCTTCGCTCGTTGCTGGCTCCGCCGCTTGAATCGTGTCGACCTCGTCGATGGGCGTGATGGCGTCTGCATCCGCACCAGCCTCGACTGTCTCGGACTGCACTGGCGGCTCTGCCACCGCCTGCGACTGCGATGCGGCAGCACGCAGCTCCTGGATCGAGGAAGGTGCCGACTCGGCCTCGTCCGCAGCCGTGCCAGCCGGGGCCGCAGCGGTGACGCGCTCGAACGCGGTGGAGTCGGCACTGATGACGGGACTTGCATCGGCGGCCCTTCGGCCTCGCTCGGTGTCCTGCTCTTCGTCTGCCAGGATGGCCTCCTCGATGATCTGTTCCTTTCGCTCCAGCGTGGGAGCGAGCTTGGGCGAGCGCGTTGCCGAGGGTATTGTGGCGCCGGGGCTGGATGGCTTGTCGTCGGGCCGCAAGGTGGACGAGACCTGGAGCGCGTTCGACGAGGGCTGACCGCTCGCCTCTGCCGCGATGGCTGCTTCGTCCACAGTGAGTGACGCACGCCTCTCGGCGGGTGAGAGTGGTTTGGACGCGTGCACGACAGCGCCCGCTTCGGCGTTGGGCAGTGTGGATAAGAGCGCGTCGCTCTTCTCCTTGAGGCCGAGTAGTTCGCGGAACGTCTCGTTCTCCATGCGCAGGCGCTCCTCTTCGGTCAAGTGCTCGAGCGCGTCGTCGGCGCGCAACGCAGCGGGATCCTTGCCCGTATACCCGCCCGATCCGTACCACTTTGGATCCTGGATCCATCCGCGGTTTGACTTGCGCGGCTGCGCATCACCTACAGCACCGGCATCGTCGTCGTCGTCGTCGCTAAACTCTCCGTCGAGCGACTGCATGGCGCGTCTGACAAGGCCGCCGAGATGGGTGAGCGTGCCGCTAAATGCAGTCTCTGCGGCGAGCGTCTGCTGGGCTGCATTATGTGTGTTCTGCGCGAGGAGCGACTCGTAGTGCTGTGTGAGCTGAAGCGTGTGCTGCTGTGTGGAGTGGGAGAAGCTGCGGAACTTGGCCATGACGGTCTCGAGCGTGTTTTCGTACTCGCGCAGCAGCACCGCCTGCTGCTTGTTCTCATGCGACAGCGCCAGATTCTCCTTGACAAGGTGGACGTTGAGCGACTCGAGCTCGGACTCGAACTTCTCCTTGGAGATGTCGGTGTTGAAGCGGCGGAGCGCAAAGCCGGTGCCCGAGTGGATGGCCTGTCCGCGCAGCTGGTCTGCCTGCTGCTGGAGCGATTCGCAGAGCTGTCGGTTGGCCTGGAGCTGGTTTGTGAGGTCTTCGATGAGAGACCACAGTCTCTGCATATCATCGCCGTCCATGATGGCCATGTCTCGGCTGCGATGCAGCGTGTGCCGACGAGATGAAGCGGTCGACGAGGGCGGCGCGGCGCCTGCAGGGATGCGAGCGAGGCGCTTTGCGTAGCCGAGAAGCTTGCAATAGACGCCAGGAGCACGAGTGGCCGCTCTGGTCGAGTCGCGATGGAGGCGGAAGAAGACGAGAATGCGGAGGGAGAGACAGCGGTCAGTGACGGAGGCCAAGCCGACGACGACCCCTCGACGATGCGATGGCCAAACCGCCGAGGTGCATTCGAATCGAGCTCTAACATTTCTGGCCGAATTTCGACGTGTCTCTGCAGAGGCGGCAGATGCAGAGGGTTGGAATGCGTGGGCACAAATTCACGTGATGCCAGTAGGCACCGCACCGGCACTGCCGAGAGACCAACACCTGCGGCTGAACGGCACGCACCGCTCCACTTTGTTGGCTTTGCGTGAAACGGCAAGGCAGCACGCACCACGCACTACGCTTCACCCACAACGCTCGCTTCCCAAGACCATCCTTCTCCTCGCCTGTCATCTAAGGAGCTTCTGCGCTAGACTCGTCAGCGCGCGCCAGGGATGACCTTCTGAACACATCTCTCTCTCTCTGCCCACTCTGCACACCTTGGCTCTCCAAGAGCGCGCAGAGCAGCAGCTATGGCTGAGCCATCCGAGCCGTCAGCGTCGTCTACGTCGTCGACGGCCCAAGCTCCCCGCGATGCAGAGATCGACGCTTTCGTCGCCTGGGCGCAAGCCGTGCTCGCCGACATCCCGCACGCCGATCGCAACGTCAGCGCTCCGGCGGATCTCGCAGATGGTGTGGCGCTCTTCCAGATCCTGGCGGATATCGACCCGGACCTCTTCCGCAATCCACATGCTGGCGATACCAAGGACAACTGGGTGCTCACCATCGGAACCCTCAAGCGTCTCTTCAAGCTCATGCTGCAGTTCTACTCCCAGAGCCTCTCGTGCGCCCCATCACCACTCCCATCGCCCGATCTCAATGCCATCGCACGCTCCGCTGACCCGGAAGAGCTTGCCAAATTGTGCCTGCTCGCCATCGGCATCGCCGTGCAGAGCGAGAAGAACGAGGCGCACATCGCTGCCATCCAGACGCTCGACCACTCGCACCAGACCCAGCTCATGGTCTCCATCGAACGCATCATGTCGCTCATCAAGCAAGCCCAAGATGAAGAGCTGGCCGCATCCGCTGCAGACGATTCCACCGCCTCCTCTCGCGCGGCAGCTGTCGATCCCGATACCCACGGCAGATCGTTCGCCGAGCTTGCCTCCGAGCTCGACACACTGCGTGCCGAGAAGGACGACATCGAAAAGACCTACCTCGTCCTGCTCGAAACCCACCGAAGCGTGACCAGCGAGTTCCAAGACCTCAAGGCCGAACGCGACGAGCTCACCGCCAAGCACCAAGAGTACAAGAAGCGCGTCGAGGAAGAGCGCAACGAACAGGCCGACGTGCTCCTGCACCAGCAAATCGAAAAGCTCAAGGCCGAACTACGCCGCAGCGAGGATGCGCTCGCCGAGCTCGAGTCGGACAACGAAAAGCTCATCCAGGCTGCCCAAGATTCGAAGCGCAAGATCGACGAGCTGCAAAAGACAGCAGACGAGGCGGTAAAGCTGCGCGACCAGATCGAGGAGTACAAGCACGCCGCAGATCGTCTGCAGAAGGCCGAAAACGCCATCGAAAAGTACAAGAAGAAGCTCGAGGAGGGCGCCGACATCCGTCGCCAGCTCAAGCTGCTCGAAGACCAGAACGCCGAGCTCGTCGACCGCAACGCCAAGATCGAGGACGAGTACAAGCGCGTCTCCGCCTTCAAGCCGCTCATGGACTCGTACAAAACGCAGATCGCCGAGCTCGAGTCCAAAACCTCCACCTTGCAGCGCGACCTGGCCACTTCCAAGTACGAGCAGAACCAGATCCTATCGCGCCTCAAGGCGTCCGAGGATCAGCGCGCCACCGAAAAGGAAGAGATGGAGCTGTACCAGGAGCGCATCAAGGAGCTCGAGCTCGGAGGCGATGCGGCCGGCGTGCGACGCAAGAAGCTCGTAAGCCGCGCCTCCAACGTGTCTGCCAACGGCGTCGAGGGTCTCGTCGCCGCCGACGCAACGCGCGCGGACACCGACTCGTTGGATCTGGACGACGACGACGAGTTGGACCGCTCGGGCGAGCTCGAAGATGCCTTGAGCGGCACGACGATGACCGACCTCAAGATCAAGGTGCGCAAGCTGGCGCGCGAGCTCGAAGCGGCGCAGACCAACAAGGCGGACCAGTCGCGACTGATTGTGCTCGAGAACCTGCTGGAGGATGCGCAGCGGATGAAGGCGCGCTACGAGGCGGACTACCTGCGCGAGCATCGCGACAAGATGGTGCTGCAGAGCCAGCTCGAGGCGATCCGCAGCGGCAAGTCGGATCTCGGCGATGGCACCGAGGCTGCATATGCGCTGCGGCTGCGGCTCAACGAGGTGGTGGAGGAGCTGGATGCGGCCAAGCGACGGCTTAGCGAACTCGAGGTGCAGAATGAGCAGACGCTGCGCGAGCTCACAGTGGCCAAGTCGGATCTGGCGCTGGTGAACAAGGACCAGGTGGATATCCTGCACTCGCTGCGCGCCTCGATGGAGGCGGACAAGGACGAGCTGGAGGCGCACGTCAAGAAGCTCAAGGCGGAGCTGGGATCGATGGGCGAGCAGAACCGCATGTACATGGCGCAGGTCAACTCGCTCCTCATGGAAAAAGTGGATCTGCAGGCCGAGGGGATCGGGCAGCGCGACGAGGCGCTCAAGCGCGAGCGCGCACTGGGCGATTTGCGCACACGGCTGCAGGGCAAAGGGCTCCCGAAGGAGGTGGAAGAGCTGGTGGCAAGTCTGCAGACCGAGGCGCTCAACTCGACGCGCGACCTCAAGGCGCTGCAGGAGCGCTTTAGCAAAGCCAAGACGTTCATCAAGCAGCAGGATCGGATGATAAAGGAAAAGGATCGCAGCATCGCCGCTGCCGCCGCCGCCGGCTCTCTGATGGGAGGCGCCGGCGGTGGCGAAGGAGGAGCGTTACGCGGCGAGATGGGCAACGAAGCGCTGGAGCTAGAGGCACGCCGGTTGCGCGAGCAGGTGCGCAACCTGGAGCGCGAACAGACGCTCATGATGTCGGCCTTCCAGGACCTCGGACGGCGCTACATGGTCGAGCTGGAATCGGGACGCAATCCGAGCGGCGGTGGCGCGGCGGGCGCCCGCAGTGGCTCTGCGTCGTACGCGGCGGGTGGGGTGCGTGCGCTCTCGGGTCTCACAGGCCTCAATGCACCGGGCCGAAGCTGGCTTGCCAACCAACGGCGTCTGGTCAACCCAACGCTGCAGCTTGCCAATCGAAGGTGAGCTGAGCTGGGCGAAGGCGCTCCGTAGGAGCCATTATACCCCCACATCCACACCCACACCCACACCCACTCGAATGCATCGGAAATTTGAAATCTCCGACTTGACCGCACCAGACCGAAGACTAGAGACTTTTAGAGCTCGACGGGGGAGTGAGTTGCAAGTTGCCGGAGATGCACGAGGAGGCTGTAAAGCAGCTGCAGAGGAAAGCTTCTGGAGAAAGGTTCATGCTGGTGTTGGCATGCGAATGCACGCCGAAGCGAGGGCAGACGCCAGCGTTGGATTGGGCGCTCGTCGGTGGTTGCGGCTTTTCACGCGGCTTGCTCGCGATGCACAGCTTCGGTCTCCAAAGAGTGCTTGGTTGGTGATCCCCGATGGGGGGTTGATTGCAGATGATTCGGCATCGGCACCGTGTGGGCTCCGCTTGGCGCTGATTCGTGCGGAGATGGCCATCCGCTGTCGGCCCTGAGCCGAGTGAGGGGGGGCCCTGGGGTGAGTTCGGGTTGCATGCATCAAAAGCACAGGTGCAGGAGGCATTTCAGGATGCGCGTCGGCCGGCATCCGAGCCTCGCTGTCTGTTGCGACATGCAACCGCGTTGAAGCTGCACAATCGAGCAACTCGGTCCAGCACCTCCCGGCCCACCCGTCCATGCCAGTCTGATCGATTACAGATCTCCAGCGGACTTCTGTCTCCCACACGCCCTTGCTATTCTCAACATCCCACCCGACGTGATTCCACATTCTGTGATACAGGGATCCAGATACTTTTCCGACGCATAGCGAGCATTGATGTGGTGTGAAGAGACTCCACGACTAAAACGCAGCGATGACGCTTGGCGGGCCAAAGGGGGGGGGGGAGGGAGAGAG